TCATATGCGGTTCCTCACCTGATAAAAGGGGTTGATATGAGACAAATTAGGCTTATTTTGAACTCGTGCATATAGTTAATCATATGTTATTTTCTTGTGTGTGATGGATGTTTTCATAAATTATCATTCTCTCTCTCTCTCTCTCCCCCCCCCATGTTTTCAGTGGTGTTTTCCCTAACTTGATGTTATCAGTCTACCCACTTTGTTTCATTCAGCCCACCTCACTGTAATCTAAGAAATTCCTGTGATGTTTTGAGCTTTAGGTCTGCTGTGAGCATTTTTTTTCTGAAGGAAAGGGCAAACATGATGATCATGATGATGAGATGGGGGTGGTGTAGGAGGAGGAGTGCATTTCTGTGGAGCTCTCACACATTCCTTCCCTTCATTCAGCAGCTGGCAAAGAGCTCCACCTTTGTTGCTGTCACTCTAGCGTAGAATTTATCAGATTGTAGCCGCCATTTCGCTGAGATCCTTTAGCGTTCCCCTGTATTTGGAATTCTTGGTTTCTGCAAGCTCATTTGGTTTGAGTCACGCTCATCCACATCCACACAGCTGTCGACTTGACATTCCTCGCTGACGTTATTCTCCAATAAAAGTACAGGACCCGCTGCATGAACCCTCTCTGCTGTCGGCTCTTACAGCCGTTTGTTCTCGCCCAGTGAAAGGCCCTGTGTGTATGGCTGGCCATGCAGAGCTCTCTGCCTTCCTGTCTAAAAGTATCAACAATCCCATTTCCTACCATTCATCACACAGTGTCACTTAGAATAAGATGGCCCTCTGTCACAACAATCACAGAGTCGTGCAATCTCAGTTTTAAAGTTTAAACTCTGTACTGTCCTCTGCTTTACATGACACTTTCCCACACAGGCAGTTTTTAAGAAATTTCTCCAAATATTTCTTCTTTCCCAGGGGCGCTGTTAGCCAGCAGCTGCTCCTCTGTATGATTGGTCAGACATCTCTGCCTCTCCCTTAGGGTTTCTAAAAAAGAAATGTTTGTTCTTCTCAGCCATAGGTCGAATACAGGCCAAGTCTCTGGGGAACCTGTCCAGTCTGACGGGGGAGGACCTCCCCCTTCCGGCCGGTTGGACCGTTGACTGGACCATCCGTGGCAGGAAGTACTACATCGACCACAACACTAACACTACACACTGGAGCCACCCTCTCGAGAGGGAGGGGCTCCCTCCAGGCTGGGAGAAGGTGGAGTCCGCTGAGTTTGGGGTCTACTATGTGGATCACATAAACAAGAGGGCACAATACCGTCATCCATGTGCTCCAAGGTATGAAGCGTTAAAAAACGCTGCTTTTAGTTCTTTAAGCAACTAAAGTTCTACTATTTCTTTACTTAGTAGAAAACTTACCTCATCACAATAGAGATGATGTTTCTTTGTATTCTAGCGTACCTCGCTACGATCAGCCCCCACCACTACCACCTCCCCTGGCCTATCAGCCACGTCCTGCAGAGAGGAACCAGCCAGTTCTCGTGCCAGCTAACCCATACCACACAGCCGAGATTCCAGACTGGCTGCAGGTGTATGCTCGTGCACCACTCAAGTGAGTCTAACTCAGTCTTACCTGACATTTGTCTAGTTAATAGTATTCTGGTCAGTCAATAATCAGTAAATGTACAAACAAAGGGAGGTACTAAAAGGAGGAATTTATGGAAGCCACTGGGGGGGGGGAAATGCCACCCATAAGTCAAAATTCGGGGTTAGTATCTCAAAATTTCAACTTAATAATTCTAAGTTTTTTATTCTACTTTTTATTTAATCCTGGACATTTTTTTTTTGATAGTAACCAAATAAGCGAGTTATTTTCAAGCTCTTACCAAAAGTGTAGAATCAATATTTTTTGGTAGTTTTGGTTTTGACCTTAATACTTACGGAAATGGAAAAGAATGATGTTTATCCTTAGGTACCTAAATATGTAATGTATTTATTTTATAGTGTTTTTTAATACCTCAAAAACATGTATGTTTATTTGTGGAAAACTGCGTTCCAAATCGGTGTTTATTTCAGAGTTTGTACATATTCAATAGAGATCCCCTGAAAAAAAAATCTTACCAAATAAAAGTATTTTTTGCACAAAGAAGTGACTGATAGATCTTCAAACCAGCCCAAAGGGTAACTTTAAAGGTACAGTGACTCTCCTCTCCTTTACATCAGGTACGACCACATCTTGAAGTGGGAGCTGTTCCAGCTGGCAGACCTGGACACGTACCAGGGAATGCTGAAGCTGCTCTTCATGAAGGAGCTCGAACACATCGTCAAGTCCTATGAGGCGTACCGGCAGGCGCTGCTGTCGGAGGTGGAGGCACGCAAACAGCGGCAACAGTGGTACGCCCAGCAGTCCAACAAGAACTTCATAGGGAACATGTGATGTGTGTGTGCGTGTGTGTGCAGCAGGGACTTCTCAGTGCCACACCTCTCTGAGGTTTCCTCAGTTTGGGAGCGGTCAGAGCTGCCTTTGAAATCATGATTGACTCTTAATTGCCTCTTTACCAAACACATCTGTGCCTTTGCTTGATCCAAATATATCAGCCAGGAGGTCGAGACACATATATGGCCAGGGTGGGGGCCATGTGACACTCCGTTTATGGATGACTGATAGAAACAACAACACAAAACACTAGAATGAAGAAATAATGTGTTGCATCATGGGAAACTGCTTGTGGTTCCATTGAAAGCCACCGACCTGGGAAAATTGCTGTTTGAATTCCTTTTTTAAAGACTGAGAAGCACAGAGTGTGAAAAATCAGGTCTGGGTATTTGTTACAAAAGCATCCTGACATTGTGCCTTTAATAAAACAAAGTGCAGCAGTTTTACGTCTGCTCATAAAGTGTATACGCCAGCTACTCCGTCATTTTTTCCTGTGGGAGAAAGCGACAGGCAGCTTTTTCTAATTTGACTTCATGGCTTCTTTCCTTTGCTCTGTTACTGTCATAAACTGAAACCACACACAGAAAGTGTACATTGTTCCTTTTTTTTATGACATACTTTTAAGACAATCCACCAAAACCTTAACAGATATTTAATTTTAGATTTTTCTTTTTTGATTGATGAAGCATCAGATTTGATGCGGTGGTTTGAGCGTCTCTCGGCATTATTGTTCGTCAGGAAAATTCACGTTTTTGTGCATTTAATTAAACACAAATAAGCTACTGGAACTTTTTTTTAAAAAAGAAGTCACATTCATTTTGCCAAAAACTTTACTTTCCCTTTGTTTCAGTTTTTCATGTTTTATGTTTATGGCCGGACATCTTGCTTCACTGATATAACAGAAGTCCAGGTTCTTGGACACATATTCTACTGATCACTAATCAGCTTTTATCTCCTCTTAAGATACTCAGAAATGTTTTCTTACTTTTTTTTTGTCTACTGGAGACCAGTGATAATGTGTTATTCTCAGTATATAAAATGTTTAAGGAGTCCTGTGTATCAGAGGAACCTAAACATTTCTGAATGTCCTAATTGGGAGCAGTGGAATAGGTTTGTACAGAACATTGGGCTTCTCTTTGGGCCTCTATCACATCGCCTCAGAACAATGTCTACAGTTTGTTCATACCTGATTTTGTGAATTGCAATTACAGGACATAAGCAATAAAGTCTGCAGTGAAGAAAAAATACACGTATGGATGTACAGTTGTTGCCTCCTGCTGCTTGCCGGTCTTCCCACAGTGTTTTATAATGGCAGAGCCATTTAAAACACTGCCGGTACGCCTCGTAGGACTTGTATTTAAAACATTTCTGATTGTAAGAAAACTCAAGTCTAGATTTCATTAATTTGGTCCATCTTTATTAGGTCTTTTCTTTGCAACTGAATTTTTTTGCAATGCGTGTGCTGAAAACTAAGCAGAGTCAATTTGAAGGAGCTCACAAAAAAAGGTTGATTCATTTGACCTTTCAGTCCTCCCACCACATTGAGAGGTGATGCTTTAGGAATGAAAGAAAAGCTCTGTCTCACAGATGAGATATTCCAACACAGTGTAAACAAATACTGTTCTTCTGACTTCTTAATGGACACAACACCCAAAAACATAGTCATGAAATAGAAAGGGATTTCAGAACATCACGAATCTTAAACTGGTCTTGGATGGTTCTTTGTGTGAAGGCCTCGCTGATGTTGATTATAGATTGTGGAAGACTCTAGAAGCCACTCTGCTGCAGTGCCTTTAAATTTTCAACCCTTGAGGTCGAACCTCACTATAAACTTGCTAAATATGCATGACAGTGTTCCTGTACGGTTGGTGAGCAGATCTAAATGGGAGGGGGGAAGAAAAAGAAAAAAGACATAGAAAAGTTTTGCTGCAGCTTTGTATGTGATGCAGACATTTTACAGCGCAGTGACTCGAGGAGTTAAAACAGTGACCGCAGTTGTACAAATATACAGTAACAGTCTACTAAGCCGAAGTATTCAAACACCAAAAAAGAGCCATCACCGATACAAGCCTTTTGTTTAAAAATGCAAGCTGTTGTGGAAACACGAAAAGCCTCTTTCACCATGCAGCAGTTTTGCACAGATGATTCGGTTTAAGTGTGAGAAGATGATGAAAGAGATGTGGAATGAGGCTCCGTTTCCAAAGCAGGCCTGTCGCCACGCCTAATAGCATCTAGCTTTGATTC